TATGGAAAGTATAACTTAACAAGCTCTTGTCTGGTGGAATTACCCAGTAGAATGAGAAAGCTTTGAAAAGCATTGCACCAGAGGCAGCACCTGTAGCTCAGTGGGTAGGGCGCTGGCCACATGCACCAGGGCTGGTGGGTTTAAACCCAGCCCAGACCTGCTAAAACAAAAACACAGCCAGGTGTTGTGGTGGGGGCCTCTAGTCCCAGCTGCTCAAGAGGCTGAGGCAAGAGAATTAGCTTAATCCCAGGAGTTTGAGGTTGCTGTAAGCTATGACGCCCCAACACTCTACTGAGGGTGACATAGCCACTCTGTCTCAAAAAAAAAAAAAAAAAAAAAAGCAAGCAAGCAAGCAAGCAAGAAAGAAAAGCACTGCACCAGACCAGTGAAGACCTGAGGACCTGATCCTGGACAGAACCTCTTTTTTTTTTTTTTTGGAGACAGAGTCTCACCTTGTTGCCCTTGGTAGAGTGCTGTAGCTTCACAGCTCACAGCAACCTCACACTCTTGAGCTTAAGCGATTGTCCTGCTTCAGCCTCCAGAATAGCTGGGACTATAGGCACCCGACACAATGCCTGGCTATTTTTTGTTGTTGTTGTTGCAGTTGTCATTGTTGTTCAGCTGGCCCAGGCTGAGTTCGAACCTGCTACCCCTGGTGCATGTGGCCAGCGCCATGCCGAGCCTTTATTTTTATTTATTTTTTTTGAGACAAGGTATCACTCTGTTGCCCTGGTTAGAGTGCACTGGTGTCATCAACCTCAAACTCCAGGGTTCAAGCAATCCTCCTGCCTCAGCCTCCTGAGTAGCGAGGACTATAGGCCTGCATCACAACAATGGTCTAACTTTCTCCATTTTTAAAGTAGAGATGGGGGTGGGCACAATGGCTCATGCTTATAATCCTAGCACTCTGGGAGGCCGAGGCAGGGGAATTGCTTGGGCTCAGTAGTTCAAGACCAGCCTGAGCAAGAGAGAGACCCCGTCTCCACTAAAAAATAAAAAAAAACGAACTGGGCATTGTGGTGGGTGCTTATAGTCCCACCTCCTCAGGAGGCTGAGGCAAAAGAATCACTTGAGCCCCAGAGTTTGAAGTTGCTGTGTGACACCATGGCACTGTACCCAGAGTGATAGAGGGAGACTCTGTCTCAATGAATGAATGAATGAAGTACAGATGGAGTTTTGTTAGTGCTCAAGAAGTCTCCTGACACCAAACGATTCCCCCACCTCAGCCTTGCAAAGTGCTAAGATTACAGGCATGGGCCACTGCACCCAGTTGACATAACCTTTTAATCCCAACTGTAATTCTCAAGTATTAACATCTACTCTGCATAGCTGTCCAGTATCTTGCCTTTTTGTCCTGACAGATGCAAGATGTAAATAGATCTACGCTTCACTAGGAATCTTATCAAATTACTACAAACCTCCTTCCTTAAAAAAGACAAAAAACTCTTATTCTTTCTTTAGGTGAAATATTAAAACCCTCTTCATTATAAAATGCTTATCTTTCTATAGTATTTAACTTGTCTTGGAACTATAGTATAAAATACTGATATCCAGGCTGGGCACAATGGCTCACATCTGTGATCTTACCACTCTGGGAGGCCAAGTCAGGAGGATCACTGGAGCTCAGAAGTTAGAGACCAGCCTGTGCAAACCAAGACCCCATCACTACCAAAAATAGAAAAAAACTTACTCTGGTGACCTGGCAGGTGCCTGGAGTCCCAGCTACTCTTAAGGCTGAGAAAGGAGGATCACTTGAGGTTGCTGTGAGCTAGGCTGATGCTATGGCACTCTAGTCTGGGCAAGAGAGTGGGACTATTTAGAAAAAATTAAAAAAAAAGTCAAAATCCCCCTGATTTCATGCCTGTAATGCTAGCACTTGGGAGGCCAAGATAGGTGGATTGCCTGAGGTCACAGGTTCAAGACCAGCCTGAGCCACAGTGAGACCTCGCCTCTAGCAGGTACCTATAGTCCTAGCTACTCAGGAGGCTGAGGCAAGAGAATCACTTAAGCCCAAAGAGTTTGAGGTTGCTGTGAGCTGCAACACCACAGCACTCTACCAAGAGCAACAAGGTGAGACTCTCAAAAAAAAAAAAAAAAAAAAAAAGAAAGGCTCAGCGCCTGTAGCTCAACCGGCTAAGGCGCCAGCCACGTACACCTAAGGTGGCAGGTTTGAATCCAGCCCAGACCCGCCAAACAACAATGACGGCTGCAACCAAAAAATAGCCGGGCGTTGTGGCGGGCGCCTGTGGTCCCAGCTACTTGGGAGGCTGAGGCAGGAGACTCGCTTGAGCCCAGGAGTTGGAGGTTGCTGTGAGCTGTAATGCCACGGCACTCTACCCAGGGGGACAGCTTGAGGCTCTGTCTCAAAAAAAAAAAAAAAAAAAAAAACGCAAACACCCCCCCCATATATGAAAAGCAAGAAGCATTTATGAAACCTTTCCTAATAACAGCATAACCAAGTTCTTTTTCTTTTTTTAGAGACAAGAGTCTCACTTTGTCACCCTCAGTACAGTGCCGTGGCATCACAGCTCAAAGCAACCTCCAGCTCTTGGGCTTAGGCTATTCTCTTGCCTCAGCCTCCCAAATAGCTGGGACTACAGGCGCCCACCACAACACCCAGCTGTTTTTTGCTGCAGTTTGGCTGGGGCCAGGTTCAAACCCCCCACCCTCTGTATATGGGGCCGGTGCCCTACTCACTGAGCCACAGGCACCACCCATATAACCAAGTTCTTAACTGAAACCTTAAAACCTATGTGTAACTTCTGACCCTGGCACAACAACCAAAGATTATTTTTAATGCCATGATGTAGGTCCTCCTGTGTTTTCTAGTACATAACCCTGCAAATGCTGAGAACAATTATATTTTGACCAAATTTTCCAATACCTTTCCCAGTTCATAGCATCAGGAAAAACACCCAGGTTTTCAGTCTCCAATTCTATTACAGCTATCATCATAAAGTACTACTGTTGCCACTTCCTTAGCTGTTATGGTACTAACTCATACTATGTAGTATAACACATAACACAAACTCAGACTTTAACGTTGAGCTTAGGTAATTAACCGGAGGCTCATGTAGATGTCAAAGCATAAACATTAATTCCATGTTTCTTTTCCCATGAAAAATGTCAAAAACATTTCTCTTAAAAGTAAAAGACAATGGGCCAGGCTAGGTGACTCACACCTGTAACCCAGGCACTCTGGGAGGCAGAGGCGGGTGGATTGCTCCAGCTCAGGAGTTCGAGACCAGCTTGAGTCACAGCAAGACCTCATCTCTAAAATAACAATGGAGCGTTGTGGTGGGCGCCCATATTCCCAGTTACTTGGGAGGCTGAGGCAAGAGAATAGCTTAAGTCCAAGAGTTTGAGGTTGCTATGAGCTGTGATTGCTACAGCACTCTACCGAGGGCGAGGGCGATAAAGTAAGATTCTGTCTCAAAAAAAAAAAAAAAAAGTAAAAGACAGTGCATCAAGTCAGAAGAAAAACGTCACCTAACTTCAACATGAAATGCCTAACGTGACTCCCCAACACAGACAAGAGGGAGATACACACAGAAGTCTACACTAGTCCACAACTTCACAGTACTCTAAAATAAAAAAAGCAAGAACACCATGTTCTACAGACTATTAATAGAAAGTGGTCTAACAGAATTACGTAAAACCAGAAAGAGAAGACTTTTCACCTATAGTTACCTAAATCAAAATTTATTTCTTTGGGAAACTAAGTTTATACAGCTGAACCATCTGTACAACTAAAGCATTCAAAAATACAAGTGTCAAAGAAATTATTTTATTCAAAGTCTGAGTTTTAAAAAAAATCACCATCTTTAAAACAGACCAGTGTTCAGATTAAAATGTCAATCCAAACATCTTTCTTGTTATAAAGCTTAGCCTTGTGAAGAGCAGGAGCTTTCACTGCTTTTCATAGCTAACCACGTTTAAAGTCCTAAGGCACCCGACGAAAAAGTGCCAAGTTAGATATTCGCTATTCCACAGGCTCAAAGCCACGGTAACTAAACGTCGAGGGAACTCCAGGAAAGATTGTTCCCGGCCACAGTTCTACTCTCAAGACTCCCCGCCCCTCCCCCTCACTGCCGTAGAAGCACGGTCACAAAACTAGTAGCACACACTCCTACCAGAGGTCCTAGAGCACCTCGCCCAAGAGTTACAACCAAGAGAGGAGTGGTTGTGACCATGTTCCTACTTTCCTAGCTGCACGATGCCATCCGCGATGCGTGGAGCAAAGCGGATACAACAGATCTGGCACAGAAACCTCATGCCCCAACCAGAAGGCAAGGCCGCCTCAAGAGTAAGTCCGGACACCTCCGCAACTCCCAGTGAGCTGGGGCCCCTCCTACCCCACAGAGACTTAGGGCGGGGCAGACCTAGGCGCCGCGACTCCCAGCCAGACCGGACAGCGGGATTTCCCTAGCACCGCCTTACTGCCAAGGAGGCGGAAACCCGGAGAAGGGGGGGAAGGCAAAGGGGAGTGGCATCGCCGCTCGGTACAGCCCCTCCGGCCAACCGGATCCCGAGAAGGCGGAGGAACGCAGACTGCACGCCCCCTCCCTGCCGCGCCCAACAGCCACTTGCGGGAGACCTCCTAGCCGTCCCCTCACCCCTGCAGGCCAGAGCTCGGCCACTCGCCGGAGGCCCTGCCCGCCCCGGGAGAACTGAAGAGGATGGTCTGCAGCAAACACCACTTAGCGCGAGGCCGGCCCCGCCCCTTTCTCCACAATCGCACGCGCGCGTCGGCCCCGCCTCTGAGCGGCGGCGCGAGCGCCCGCCCCCTCCGCGCGCACCGGGACTACGCTCTCCCCCTCCCGCACCGAGAGCTACCCCGCTCCGCCCCCCACCCCCCTCACACATCCACACACCTCCCGCCCGTCTGCTCTACGGGAAGCCGAGGAGGTCAGCCCCCCCCCTAAAAATACACACCCTCGAGTCCGGCGTTACCCCGCCACCCAGGCTCCCGCCCGGACTCCAGCCCAGCATGCTCTCACCGCAAAGCCGCTTCACTCGCTCCTCACTGCGTGTCCCTCTCGGCGTGAGCCTCGGGCTCAGCAAGGAGGCCCCGAGAACGGCGCGGGGCAAAGGCCTGCAGAAGAGGACTGGCAGCTCCCTCTCCACTAACGAAGCGGTCACAGGCCCCAGTGCCCAGACTGGGAGGGAGGGAGGGAGGGAGGGAAACTCCGAGGGGGGAAGGGGAGGGGGGGAAGATGGAGAAACCGTCTCCGCCGCCTCTACCGCCGCGGCCGCTTCTCTGTTACCCGGGAAATCCCGCCCACTCCCCGGCCCGCCCCGCAGAGGGAAAGACTCACCTTCGTTCTGCCACAGGACGCATTATCCGCCCGTCAAAAGACTAGCCAATCACTGAGCTCGTCTGCCAACTTCCCGCCCCTTCCCTCAACTGGGAGGGGAGGGGAACCGCTCATCTTCTCCACGCCCCTATTGGCGGGGAGCTTCCCTAACTCAACCCCGCCTATTGGAGACGGATAGCTGAATCCCACCCCCAAGCTGCAACACTATTGGAGGAAGCGAGGAAGCTCTTCACGTCTCATTGGAAGACTCAACATACCCCGCCCCGTAGCATCTCAGCCACAGGCCTAACAAGTTGGCTCCCGCCTCCGCCGGTCATCGCATTGGAAGGTTAGCCCTGGCTCTCCCACCGCCCCAGGAAGGTAAGTAACTGATGTGGGGTAAAATGTCTGTTAAGTGAAACAGACTCCTCCTACCACACTGCCGGGGCAGGCCCCGCCCCCAACAGTTGGATTGGATATCTTGGCACCGGTAGGAGCTCCCATTGGCCACGGCGCCCGTCTAGGAAGGAACTGATTCTGCCCAACGCTAGGAGGCTGTACCTTATCAGTCCTTTTGTGGAATGTTTACACTAGAGACTGAAGCTCCGAGTTCCAGGGCCGACACAGGAGGTGACGCGGAGCTCGGCAGCGGAGACCCGACACGCTGGTTTTTACAGGAGAAAGGCTGCCGCATTATCACCCTGGCGGACTCCCTTACAAAAAAATGAGAATGAGAACCTCATCCTTCCCATCCAGTTATCTATACAATTTACATTCCAGAAGGTGTGTCTTTATAATCACAAATATCTGGAGAAGCCGGCAGATTCTTTCAGCAAGTAGAGTATAAAACTGGCGTACAGTCTGGAGACCTAAGCCGAGATATAACCCCAGAGATTGCCAGTTCGCTGCTAGAGGTGGCTGCACTCTCGTAACTCCAACGCTCCCTATTCCTGAATATGCAGTCCTACGAGGGCGGAGATAACCAAAAGAAAGGCGGGCCCTACAAGCCACCGCCCTGGCAAGCCTCCGTAAGGCGGAGCGTGAGGCATGAGGTACTCCGGATCTCCAGGGTAGACTTGGGCATATCTTCAGACTGTAGGAAATGAAGAGACAGAAAAGACCAAAACAGGCCACTGCACAAATAACCTTGGAAGAACACCACACTCAGAGAAAAGATAAGATTTCAGGACGAAAAGAACGTCTTTCACTTTCTCTTTGGCCAAAGAATGTTAATGGCAATGCCTACGCTCTGTTTAGGTAATAGTTACTCCTCGAGTACATAAAGTGCTTCAGACACGTAGGTTCCTTTCATTTATTCACCAAATAGAACGTGGGCCTGACGCCAGCCTTGCTTTGGGGGGCGCTGTCGCAGCGCCAGGCGAGAGCGGGACCAGACTCTTCCCGCTCTCTGAGCACACAGGATACTCTCCCCAGAAAGCTGAGTGGGGTTCCGAGGGAACCCACTCCTAGGTCGAGCACTGTTCTCCCTACCCTAATCCAGTGGAGACTGCCAGAAACGAGCACTAGCAACAGGTGGGTCTGACTCCAAGAATGACTTCGAACCGCGAGGCCATGGCAGTACTATGAGCTCCACGAGTAAGCCGACAGGTGAGAACAGTCTCCCAGTAGCTGTGCCCAGCCCCAGTATGGAGCTCTAAAAATAAGGCAGACCGATGAAAGCGACCTCTGGGCTAAAGTGCTCGGAGATTATGAAGCGGCACTCCAGCAGAACTGACCAAAAGTTACCTTTAATTCTGAGCTGCCCTCCCCCACCTACAGTGGCTGCCACATGGCACTCCCACCAAGAAATCCCAAATCACTCAGAACCGTAGCCAGGACTAGGCCTCCCCCAACTTCTGACCACCGGGCACGGGCTGCCCTGGATCGTGCCTAAAGCTTCCAGGCCAACCCGAGGCTGTCACACTTAGTGGGAAGCAAAGACACAATGCAGGCGTCTGCTGAATTCTCAAGCTTAAGCTCAGAGAGGTCAAGGGGCGCAGGAACAGCCAAGCCATAGGGCTCAGATTTTTAGTACTTTGTCGCGGCCCAGAAGGGTAGTTCCACCCACTGCAGAAGCCCCAGAGCCCGCAATAGCAGTCCACACGGTAATCCTCTAGCTTCACCCCGAAGGCTACCAGATCTCAGGCCCGGTTGAAATCTTTGTGTGTTTTCTCAGTTGTCCCCGCCCCCCCTCGCCGAGGGCGCCGAAACCAGAACTTCCGGGCGGGAGGGCAGTTCAGAGGAGCTAGGCGGGCCTCACACATGTGCTAGGCGCGCTCACAAGCAAAGTGGGGGGCGGGGAACAGGGGCGGACTTCCCCCTCAGAGCTCTCTCCGCTGGAGGCGGGGCTATCCGAGGCCACCAATCATAAATAGGGGTGGGACCGCGCGGCTCAACGTAACCTCAGGAATCCTACCTCCTCCCTTTACAGAAAAAAAAAAATCCCAGTAACTTAAACTCCAGCCGTCCTCCCTATAGGCGGAGCTCTAGAGAATGTCATCCAATCCCTATCCAAGAAGGGAAAAAGGGAGTCTCGCCCAACCAGTGGAAGACAAGAGAAGGAGGGGCTTCTGGAAGAGCCTGAGGTAGGCGGGAGAGGAAACAGCCCCGCCCCTCAGCTCCCCTCCTGGCTCGTTGCACAAGCCACCGGCAGAGTAGATAGTAAACAGTCAGTGTGGAGGAGTGGAGGCAGGGGCAGCCCTGCGCTCCGCGGACCGGGCCCTGCATCTCCTTTACCAGAGTTGCCCAGCCTGGACCTGACAGTTCGCACCGGGGCCCCGCCTCCCCGCCCGCTGCCGCCATCGCTACTGACAGACGCGCCCCCTGCGCCCCTCCCCGCTCGCTGATGCACTTCCTTTTCCCGATTCCGAGCGTGGAGACTGTTTTCCCAGTTTCCGACCTTCACTGCCCCTTTCAGGCCATCCCCTCATGGGCGCGCGCACACGCCCGTTCCCTCGCCTCCGTCCCCGCCCCATCCGCGGCCCAGCGGCCCGCAGCGGCACCTCGCGGGAAGGGGGAGCCCGGCAGCGGCACCGCCGGGGGAGGAGAAGGGGAGCAGTCACCGCCGCCTTGGGGTGGGCGGGGAAGGAGGCGGCTCCATGTTTGCAAGGGGATCAGCTGGGGCCGCGGGTCGAAGCCGCTGAGTTCCTGGAGGCTTTCCACACCCCAGGTCCGAGCTCCGAGCCGCTTCACGGCCTAGCGCGTTCCGGCTCGACCGCCACGGCCCGGGAGTTCGGTGAGCTCTGGCGGCTCGCAGAACTAGTTGAAAGGCGCAGGGAGCTCTTCCCGGTGGCTTCTCCCGGCCGCCCCTACCGCAAGTCTGATGTCGCTCCCGCCCCCAGAGTCCTTAACAACCGCGGGCCCCCCGCGCCCGCTCCTCTCCGGAGCGCGCCCCCAGACCTCTCCGGGAAGTTTTCGGGCAGAAACAAAACCCTCTGGGCGGCTGCCGCCCCCGCCCGGCGCGATTAGCCGAGAAAGCCGCGGGCCCTGGCTAGCTCCCTAACTCCGGCTCTCGAGCAACTCCGGGCGCCGTGGGATCAGTGGGCCCAGCCGGCAAGCTCGAGCTGCCGCCCCCTGCTGAGCCCGCGCGCTGCAGCCCAGGCCCAGTTCCAGTCCGTGTGCAGAATCCCCTTTTCTTCTTTACAATATTTTTCTTTTTTAAAAAAAAAGGACACAAGAAGAGTGTGGGGGTCTCCCTTGTCCGCTCCCTCCGCAGTCTACCGCCAAAACCTACCGAAACCGACTACCCAGTTAAATAAACTAGACGGCACGGCTGTCGCATGGGCGACCCCAGACCGGGCAGACCCCCTCCCCACGGCTCCAACCCTGCTTGGAAACACACTGGCGAGCAGGCGGCGCCAAGAGCTCTTCTTCCTGGCCTGCCCCTCGCCTACCTTGGCCGCGGGACACCGAGCCTGCCCCAGCTCAGTCCCAGGGGCCGCAGCGCCCACACCAACGTCCAACCGGCCAAACTGAGCAGCCGGCGAAGTAGCCCCCCAAACGCCCGAGATTGGGGGGGGGGCTAAATTAAAAGCAGCTGTTTAACATACCTTCCGAGCCAGGCGAGGAGTCCTGAATGGGGGGAACGCCCCCCACAGACCATTGGCTCCCTGGCTCTCTCGTCAGTCGACCTCGGCCCGCCTTCTCCGTTTGCCCCACCTCTTCCCCTTTCCTGAACACCTCCTCCTTTCAAAAAAATATTTAAAAAATATATAAAACTAGCCACGAGTGGGAGACGCATCCGAGCAGAGGCTTCTATATCTATCTCACCGTGGACTTGAGTTTCTTTCCTGAGGCCCTTGGACTGGAGGGAGGCCTTCTGGGACTCAGATCCGCAGGGTGGACGCGGAGGAGGAGCCTGCAGAGCTACCCGCCCCAACTTCCTTCGCACGCACGGCCCATTTGGAGCTTGGTAGTGGAACGAGTAGAGGTGCCCTGGCGACTTGCTGGAACGTCCTCCCTTGGCTGTGTAACCTGTGCCTGGCCAACACTGTTATGCGCCTAAAGATGAGCGATGTATACGGGAAGCCCTGAGTCCAGGGCAACAGGCACTTGTCTGAGCGCCTACGGTGAGTGAGGCCGAAATTCAGGCCGCACCTGCTGCTCTACAATTATAGACTGGACGAGATGCTTACTCTCCAAAGACTGCGGGCCCAGTCGAGGAGATGCTGCAGAAAAAGCTAAGGCAAGGCAGGAATGTATATATAGCTTCCATAGGAGACCAGAAAAGAGAGATTCCTTCTAGATGCAGGAAAATTGGGAAAGGCTTCATGGAGGAGGTAGCATGCAATTTGGGTCTTAAGACTTCATCAGGTTCGGCGCCCGTAGCTCAATGAGTAGGGCACTGGCCACATACACTAAAGCTGATGGGTTCGAGCCCGGCCAGGGCTTGCTAAATAACAACAACTGCAACCAAAAAATAGCCAGGAGTTGCGGCGGGCGCCTGTAGTCCCAGCTGTTCGTGAGTCTGAGACAA